TTGATATCCTTCTAATGTGGGTGCCCCCAGAGCTGTATGCAGTACTCCAGGGGATAGCAGCAGTCTCCATAGATTCCGCTCAAGACTTCATTATGCTCCATGCTGAATATGGCAAGAGACAGTCCATATGTAAAACAAGTACACCTAAATAGACAAGACAGGCTGAGGCAGTGAAATAATTTATTATTAAAACTATTAAGAATATATGTAGAAAGGGGCTGACTAGAAAAAACATAGTTGATTGTGTCTTTGTGTACCCTGGCAAATTTATTCTTGAAAGCACACAAGGACCGTGATGTAGCTGGAAAACGTTGATGACATTTCTGTATTCCCTGTGAGGGATCCATTTCTCATAATTATCAACCTGCTAGAGACCTAACACATGGCTTAAATTCCACCCTGATTTACATGAAGTGCCTATCCAGAAGGATCGATCACTACCCTGAGTGACCTGAACAGAATACAGACCTCTGCCTTCCTGTCCCTTTCTGCTCCAGCGAGGTTACAAGGACTGCAGGGGACTTCTCGATAAAAACTGAGGTGGTAGAATTCAGGGTGAAAACATACAGCAGTGTAATGCTGTGGTTAGAAATGTAAATGCCCTATATTTGTGGGATGGGGTGGAGCTGGTGGGTTTTTTGGTTGCATTTTTCAAATCCCTTAGTCTTCTCCAGGAAGCAAACAGAATTATCCCACTTTTCTGGAGTGAGTTCTTACTACCCTCTCAGCATTTCCAGCTATATCATCACTCGGCTGCTGCAGTGGGCAGAAATCTGTTTCCCACGGAGGGGGAGGTATAGCTTGGCAGTGACTCCAACCTGGCGTCGCACACATTTATTAAGACTCAACTGGCCAGGGCTCTGCTTGCCACAGTTTAACTTCCTTCGCCTTCATTCCACCTAGGTGCGTGGAATTGCTTTTGGAAATCAAGGTGCGTCTCTGTTTGGGCAGACAGGGTGGGATGCCTACGGGCCATACTTGTTCTGAACGGACAGAGAGCGCAGAGACTCGCTCGCAGTGGAGGGCTGTGACTAACCCCCAGGGAAGAGAGGTGGCTTGTCAGGAAGTGTTTGTGCTTTCAGAATAGCTTTGCTAGGGCCAGCACCTTCTCCTGCTGCTAGACACCTCAACAGGCTGAGGAGGAGATGGCTTTGCAATAAATTATCTTTATATGGGTTATTTTGTGGGGGCAGACGTATTATCATGGCCTTGCAGAGTCCATATCTTGGGCACTGGGCGAGTTTTTTAGTCAGAAGTTTGCATCATTATGTCACGCTGAACATGGTTAGAGGTTCCCATGCTATTCCTTGAGGCTCGCATGTGGTAAAAATCCATCCTCTCACAGTTATTAGTCACGTTAATTTGTGCCCAAACTAGGTGCTTAGTAGGAGGTGATCAGGTTTGACAACTGTATATGTCCACCAGCTCCCAAAAACCGCGCTGGCACAAAAGCGAAAGAAATGAAGGGTGTTGATGTGATCACCTCCTGTCTGTGGGCGACGACTGCAATTAGCAATGACTGCAAACATGTGTGGGATGGGAGATAGCAAGAAGAGGTGAACCGGGCTACACTTCATTAGGGGTTGAAAGTGGGCTGATACACGTGTGGAAAAGCAAAACCGCAATCATGGTATTTTACTGCATTGCCACACCTGAGATGCACCTTGTCTAGTCAGCTGTGTAAACTGAACTCTTGTGTCTTTCACACTCAATTAGTTGAGGAAAACTACCTGAGAAATTTGGAGCCACACAGCCTGTTGTTTGTGCTCGCAGTGCCCTTTGCAACAGCTGGCATTGGAGTCTGAAGAGCCCTTGTCCTAATTAAACATTAATGTTAATCCCTTCTCAGGCAGCACATTGGCAGTTTTTAGTGGGGTTCACAGAAGACACCAGGGCCTGCAAGTGGACCCCCCCCACCATGTGTAGGGATGCTGCCTGGTCCCTCTGGGGTACCCCATAACTGACTTGCCCCAGGAAAGCCCCTCTCCCTCTGACATCACTGTCTTGCTTTGCTGCCTCTGATCAAATTCATTATGCAGAAACATACTTATCTTTGCCAAATGCTGGCCAATCCTGTCACTCTTCTGTGGCATCTCTGTCACGCCAGCACATTACTCAGTCGTGCATCTTTGATGGAGTCCTCAGTACTCAAAAATCCACAGGGTATGTGCCCAGTAAGTGCTGCTGTGCCACAGAACACGGGGGATCCTGCCAACTCCATAGCTGCAAGGGATGAACTCAGGTTCTGATGCTTGAAGTTTTCAGAATTCCATCAATAGGAATTTTGTACGGTGTTTCTGAACAATGGTACATCTTCCAAACTCAAAAAACCCACTTACATTAAAAATCCCCAATGAGCTGGTGT